TTCCCACCCACGGCCGATGCCGATTTCCAACGTTTAAATATATTTATATTTATGGGTTTGAAACTCGCGTTCGATAAGGTGGACACGGGTTAACGGTACAGGTGTCGATGGTACGGAAGGGGTGAGGTGATTGCACCGTTTAAAACCCGTCGTCGTCAATGGAAAATCGAAACGAAAGACGTCGTGGCGTGCCTCGCGACTACCTGTTCGCCACCACGCCGACGATTTGTTTCAGTTAAAAAGAAAAAAAAAGAAAAAGGAAAAGGAAAGGGAAAATATAACAAAGTTACCTTCTTAATGACAGCTACCCTCGAAGCTTTACGGTCCCGACGACTAACCCTTATCCCCCAAAGTTTTCCGCGTTTTACACCGCGGCACGCTTATTTCTTTCAATTGTTTTCCGACGAAGGAAATTCATTTGTTTTTTTTCTACGCTCTCATCATGGGTTAATCTGTTGTTTTTGTTTTCTCGCACTATTTGTGCCATAAAAAGTTTTTCGACTTAAAATAGATTAATTTTTTTCTCACAATTTTTCTTCCGTACAGAATTATATTATTATCCGATAACATTACATGACGTATACGTAAGTGCCTACCTTCATAATCCGACGTTATTATAAAAAACCACGCGAGACGTGAAAAAACTTCAAGTGCGCAAACATTAGTGAGTATTATCCTACAGCCAATACGTGTGTACAAAATATATCCATCATATTAATACAAATCCACATTATGTACTGTTACCGAATGATTTGGGGTTTTCGTCTTTTGTTTTATATTTACTTTCGGTTCAATCGGGTTATAAAAATGTATAAAAAGAATTATCGTCCGGACGTGTCAACCACCGTCCACCGTACACATAGATAGATGGTCACGTTAAGATGCGCGTTACACCTAAACTTTTGTATTATAGTATGTATATATGTGTTATAATATTATACATAGTGGTCGATATCGTAGTGGCCGCCACCGGGCGTACCTACTACGTATATGTTTTTTTGCACCGAGCAACGGAAAATCTCCCTTCGGACACACGCACACATACTTATACGCATGCAAAAGACAAAAGTTAGGGATCGGACCACGCGCGCGCACACGTACACGTACAATGTACATATATTATAAACACACGCACGCACACGCAAACACACACGCATACACACACACACACACACAAGCACACGCACGCATATATGCATATAAAGCATGTGTATTCATACACGCACACTCAAACGCTTTCCGCCAGGGTCCGTGGCGTGGGCAGTGTAAAGTGGACCCAAGAGCGTCGGACCGCTGCTGGGCAAGGCGGTGGGGCGAAAGAAGAAGTGAAGCGGTGGCGGAGGCAAAGGGACAAGCGTCGGCGGAGGCGGAGGGGGTAGTTCGGTTCGTCGACGTTAGGGAACGTTCCTCCCATATTGATCGGGGCTGACCAAGGCCCGCGCGCTCATCTTATGCAGAGCAGAGACCGCGCCGCTCCGCTCCACCGTGCCCGCAGAGGTTTGGCCGGGGACCGCCGCCGCCACCACCCCCGGTCCCTCACGCCGCCCCCGCCCGCCCTGACGCTCCACC